AAGTTTTTGCATTGGTAGGTGGAAAGTGAAACTTGTTTCCTTTAAGATTGTATGCCTGCTGTTTAGCTATTTAACTGGTAGCTTTTCATAGCATGTTTCCAGCTAGCCTTTTACACACCAGCTCTGTAGTAGCAAATGTTACAGAAGTAAGTGTAGCTAATTCAACAACCGTTTTTCCTGTTCTGCCGTGCAACAGTAGGACACAGTGCTTGAATTGGAAGGCTGTACCCTGCCATTGGCAGGCCCTTTTTGTTGAGAGCTAGTCACTCGGGATGCATCTCCCTCTTGATTTGTACCCAAGAAGCATTACTATGTATTTCATGTTCATGCTTTTATGGTTTAGGACAGCTCAGCCAGACAGGATTCTACCCAAGTGTTAACGCAACCCCAATAACAGAGCTAAGCTCAGCTTTCTTAGATCTTTAACAGGTATTTCTGGCTTTTTAGTCAGGAGCCTAAAGCTAAATGAATGACTTCTCTGTGTGTTGTCATCTTCCAGTGTTGCTGGAAGGGCCTGACTGAGCATTTACAGGTGCTCACCTCCTTCATAAGGAGTGTTCCTGCTACTGAGTGCTGTACAGCTGTAGAGTGAAGGTAGCAGCTTTTTCTGTTTTGGCCGATGCTTGCATTAGCAGTTCTGTTTTAAACATTTGCCTTCCTCTCCCTGCTAGTGGATCAGTTCAATCCGCCTCTCTCTCTAAAAGTTAGAGTAGGATTTAGTCTCTGTATTGGCCAGCCTGGAGATCAGTCCAGTCTACAATGCTAGAAGGTGAGTTAACTGCCCAGCAGATAGAGATTACCTCTCCTGGTCATCCCCATATCTCAGTGCACCTTGCAAATTATTCAGTTTAACATTCCAGTTTATTGTAGTTTGCTGGTCATTACCGATGACTTAGATAAATTCGTAGCTGATCTGCTTTGGCAGCCTGTGCCAGGCTGTTTAAATTGCACTGGGGCCTATGTAGGAGTCACAGGTAACTATTCCTCTGATCTTGGAGTAACTTGACCAGTCTATTTATATATATAAAAATATATATATATTTGTATATAATTTATATGCCATTCACCCTTCAAACAGGCTTGCTATCAGCTAATACATCTATTTTGGACTCTCACCTGCTTGCAGCAGTTCAGTTTCTCTATCATTCTCACTGAGCAGCTGAGGAGCAGACTTTAATTCATCCCTCCCTTCATTCCACAGCTCTAGCAAACCGCTCTCCCTGGATTTAGTGCCTGAACTGCATCACCTTCACCTCCCCTTGTAGAGATAAATGATTGTACTGTGGGGGAAAAAAAATACCCTCTGCAAATTATTTAAAATAATAATTTATTAGCAAGTCCTCTAGTTTCAGCAGTGGGGATGCATTTACTAGAGAGGCAGAAGACTCAGAAACATGGCAGTTCTCAGAAACTGGGAAAGCTGTGGCCTGCCTGTTGCTGCCGTCTTTGTGTCCAGGGGCAGCCCTGGGCTCCACACCCACATCTGCACTACAGACTGGGGCTAGAATAAGAGCTCCTGCTTGAGCTACAGAGGTTTTTTATGAGGAATTTGTAACATGTTCATCGCATGTTCATTTATAAAATACAGAAGGGACTATACAGGATGGAGGGGAGGAGCAGATAAAATCACAAGGACATCAGCACCACACTGGACCCAGAAGAATACATGGGATCTAAGCTGAAGTTACTGGAAGGTGATGTAGGGGAGTCATCCAAGCAGGGAAGATCCAAGAGCTGAGTTTTTCCTTAGGTCTAAAAGAATAACCTGTATGAAATTTTAGTTCCAGAGTTCTCCCAAAGGTTTATTCTGAACCTCCTGTATGGTCTCCTCTGCAACAGACTTGATTTCTCTGTGTAAGTCTTCTATGCTCTTTGAAGCATCTATTGTCTGTTTCCAAGACAAAAAATAGAGAAACATGTTGCTCAATTAACACCACCAAATGAGAAAAACTCACCTTGCTGTTTTATCTGCTGCCCTCCATTACTCAATACTGTTACTATTCATGAGTGGTGAAAGGAGCTAATTATACCTCCTGTGCACTGTTTCTGGAGTGGAATTGGAAAAAATCTGGTTTATTTAGGAATAGACATTTAAGAAGTAGCTGTAGGGCTGGATGAAGGGAAACAGAAGAAACTGCTGCTGCATGTTGTTTGCTGACAGTCATTGGGGCACATGATGTAAAAGCGGGTAAACGTTCTTCATCCTGTATTTTAGTCCCCCAGAAACATCAGTATATTGATCCTTCAGTGGTTCTTCAAAATAAACTCCACCCATGATAGTAGGAACCTCTAAAAATCCATCATGTGATGTTCCAGTTTCAGATTTGTTGGTTGGGTTTTTTTAATGCTGCAAGCTGAGGTCAGTAAAGGTGGTAGAGCTATATGATGCTGGTGTTCCTCAGATTGATGTTTAAAGAATAGCAACATCACTGCTGTGTAGTTGATGGAGTGACCAGGTGAAGAAAGGATATGGTGAAAAGATGTAGAGATTTATCATAGTGACCTATGCAACACTGGCCCACACAGCACTGCTGAGAAAGAGCAGGCAGTGCGGATATGCAATAGACTTCAGGATTAAATGGTAACCTTTTCATTGCGGCACAGCCAGCACCCCCCCTTTGTGCTCACGCAATATTCCTCAAGCAGCTTGCTGATCTCAATTTATGTGGGTAACCGATGGTACTGAGCTGCGTTTCATGCCCTGGACTAAATGGTTCTTTGGCAATGTTTGATGTCTGTTATTCTATGTGATGCTGAGGGGCAAAGAGGCAGGAACATTAACTATACCTATGTGGTCCACTGCTGGAATCTCTGGAAAAAAATCAGAGTTTACAGCCTATACACAAGTTCCATACTGTCTTATATGACAGCATGCTTATTTTTGTGAAAATAATTATTTTGGGTTTTGTGCTATGACACATGTTTTCTGTCAGCTTATTTTTCCGGTGGTTGTGATGTAGGGAAGGCAATTTCCTAGCATAACAGTTGCTGGAATAGAAGTCCTAGCTTGGTGATTGTTGTACGTTTAGGTCCTTCAGGTTCTAATAATAGTACACAAAAAATCTCTCTCTTGTTAAGAGAATCGTGTTTACCTGAAACAGGCTGTGCAGAATTACTTTTACCTTACACCGTCTGCTCATTTGGCAAATCTGTGTACATCTCCAGCTTATGGTGACTAGTAACTTATCCATAATATGTGTCCTATGTCTGTGTGAAAGCTACAGAACAAATAGATGCTGCTGCACATATTTCATGATCGAGCACTGGCAGGGTGATGGAGATGGTAAAAAGGATGCCCACACTACAAAACCTCAGCCTAGACGATCTACACACAGGAGAAATAGGGAACACTTCCTCTTCTGGGGTAAGGCTGCTGACTGTGCAGTCCTCTGCGAACAGCTCCAAGGGATGAACAAGAAGGAAAAGCAATGCAGCAGTGTGGAACAAAAAAAGATCATGTATTTGGAGAGAACTCTGGTAGCAGTAAGACAGCAAATGCTGACGTAAACTGGCTGTGTGAGAAGGAAGGTGATCGTCAGTAAGGGAGACACAAGCTGCAGGAAGGCCCCAAAAACCTTCAGGGATTCCAGACTCTTTGAGCAGATGCTGCAAGTTGCCAAGCAAACAGAGGCAGGGAAGAGCATGGCTGTGACCCACTGCTTCTTACCCAGGTTTGTCAGTTTATCTTTAAGAAAGAGAATGATTTCCAGAAAGTTCTTTTGCAAAACCAACCAACCAAAAATCTTCCCCACCCAAACAGGGCTCCCTAGGCTGTTCTGGAACAGAGATGAGACACCCCCCACCCTGGTCCATGGCAGGCCCACTGGGGTTATTTCCTCACCTTCCAGTTTAATGACTTGTCCTTCATTAGATGATGGAAGGACTGTAGAACTTTCTGTTGGAAGGAGCTGTTCTCGTAACGTTCGTTTCCAAAGTTGCCTCGTTCTGCTGCTTCTTCTGGGCTTAACTGAAGAAACAGAATCAGATCTGGCTTTGGGAGTCCAACGTCAGGCTGTTTGCACCAGTCCAGGCTGAAGTTCTGTCCCAAACAAAGATAATTGCATTTGAGGTGAAAGAAAGGAATGCAAAGAAAGGAAAGAGGCAAGTTAGCTGGAGAGTGGGGTGGGGAAGGAACAGCCAAAGAGATGCAGCCCAAAACACTAAGCACAGGCCTACAGACTGAAAAGGAGATGGCCCAGGTTATCATGTGGGAATTCAGTCCTGGTAGTGTGGGGGGTCAGGCTTTGCTAGGTGCTGTGCACCACTCATGCTCTCATGCACTCAGCATTTTAACATCTCTTCTGCAGAGCCCATCGCAGCTAAATACCGTGTTGTATCCTGAGTCTCCCTACAAGCTGTGATCAGTCCAAAACTGTGATCAGTCCAAAAGAAAGCTGCTCCCAAATACAAACACCACACAGCTTTAGTGTGGCTCTTTCTGGGCCCATGTAGACTCCTCTTCAACTACCTACCCTACACTTTCTCAGCCTACCCAGGAATTTTGGCCCAGACACAAGAGACAAAGCTTTCCAACTGTTGGATCTTGTTGACAGATTTGAAGACTTCCATTGGGGCACATGAATCCACGATATTGTAGAGAGACCACTGAGGCTTGTCCACTTACTGGTCATCCACATGGACACCAGTGGTACTTTCAGGGTGATCAAGGTGATGTATCAAGAGTGACTGTGGAGCTCTGGAGGTGAGGGTGCAGGGCATGGGGGGCCAGGATCAACTTGATCCTTCCAGGAAAAGGGGAAAGGCTTGGGCAGGAATGAATGTAGGTCAAGTCTCAGCTGTACAGCTGGTGTTGCAGGCAGGGCTTCAGCTTCTGTGACCAAAGGATGCCCTTTGAGGATCGATGGCTACTGAGCAGGGATGGGATGCATCTGAGAAAGTGGGACAAGAGTGTCTATGCAAACAGGCTTGCCAAGCCAGTGAAGAAAGCTTTAAACTAGGTATGTTGCGGGAAGATTTGCCATCTGGCCGGACAGCTGAGCCCAGAGAGTTGTGGTGAACAGAGTTTAATCCAGTTGGCAGCCGGTCACAAGCAGTGTTCCGCAGGGCTCAGTTTTGGGGGCAGTCCTGTTTAATATCTTTGTCAATGATCTGGATGGGGATCAAGTGCTCCCTCAGTAAGCTTGCAGATGATGCAGTTTGCAACTCCCCAAGTTGGGTGGGAGTGTTGATCTGCTCAAGGGCAGGAGGGCTGTGCAGAGGCATCTGGACAGGCTGGATCGATGGGCTGAGATCAACTGTATGGGGTTTAATAAGGTCAAGTGCCGGGTCCTGCACTTTGGTCACAACAACCCCATGCACCGCTACAGGCACGGGGAGGGGTGGCAGCCAGCAGTGTGCCCAGGTGGCCAAGAAGCCCACCGGCACCCTGGCCTATATCAGCACTAGCGTGGCCAGCAGGAGCAGGGCAGGGATCGTGCCCCTGTACTCGGCACTGGTGAGGCTGCACCTCGAATCCTGTGTTCAGTTTTGGGCCCCTCACTACAAGAAGGACGTTGAGGTGCTGGAGCGTGTCCAGAGAAGGGCAACGGAGCTGGGGAGGGGTCTGGGGCACAAGTCTTAGGAGGAGCAGCTGAGGGAACTGGGGTTGTTCAGTCTGGAGGAGGCTGAGGGGAGCCCTCATCGCTCTCTACAACTACCTGAAAGGGGGTTGTGGTGAGGTAGGTGTTGGTCTCCCAAGTAACCAGTGACAGAACGAGAAGAAATGGTCTCAAGCTGTGCCAGGGGAGGTTTAGATTGGATATTAGGAAAAAATTGTTTACTGAGGGAGCAGTCAAACATTGGAACAGGCTGCCCAGGGAGGTGGTGGAGTCACCATCGCTGGAAGTGTTCAAAAAACATGTAGACGTGGCAAACTTCAGGATATGGTTTAGTGGGCATGATAGGCATGTCAGCCCAGGTGCTAGGCTGACAGTTGGACTTGATGATCTTAAACGTCTTTTCCGACCTTAATGATTCTGTGATCTGTAGAGAACTGAAGGTCTGGGGGATGATACAACAATGGAGGCTCACCTGAAAGCAGCATAACTGGGGCAGAGTAACACAGGTGATGTTGGGGTGGGGCCTGGTACAGACTGCCTGGCTGAAGAGAGGATGTTGAGGAACCTTCTTTAGGCAGCTGGGAAAAGGATCACAACTGCAGGTCCTGGTTCTCATGGAGGATCTCAACCACCTACCTATCTGCTGGGCACAAGCAATCCACGTTTCTGGCGCATGCTGAAGGAATTCTTGACATGGTGATCAATAGCCAGTGAGGGGAGGTGCCCTGCTGGATTTGTTACTCACAAGCAGGAAAGAAGCGAGTCGAAGATGTGAAGGTCAAGGGCACCTTTGGCTGCAGCGAACATGAGACAGTGGTTTAAAATCTGGAGAGGAGTCAACAGGACAAACGTAATCGTCAGCGTGGATTTTGAGAGAGCAGATTTCTGTTCATTAGGGATCCCTTAGCAGGATATCCTGGGGAACTCACATGGAAGGCAAAGAGGCCCAGGAGAGCTCGTTGATCTTCCAGGACAGCTTCCTCGGAGCAAAAGAATGAGCACGAGACTCAGGAGGATTTTATAGCTCTGACCCAAAGGGAGGCTGACAGAGCTGACTTGTCTTCAAAGCAAACTGAGACAGGCCAACAGGCACAAGTGGGAACATGAGAAGTTCAGGCTAAATGAAAATAATTTTTACCATGAGGGTGAGGAAACACTGAAAGAAGAGCCCAGAAAGGTTGTGGATCTACATCCCTGGAGACTCAAACCTTGGCTAAACACAGCCCCAAGCAGCCTGCTTAACATTAGACCTACTCTTGAGCAGGAAGTTGGGCTTTGTGACTTCCACAGGTCCCTTCCAATGTACATGGTTCTGTTATTCTTTGCAAATTTATGGGCCAACAGCCAGAGAAAGCATGGAGAATCTCAAATAAACTCACATAGTCATTCACCAGAGTCAAACAGGACAGCCAGGTGTCTGTCCAGATTTATAAAACATAACTGAATGAGTTTCTTTGCTCTTTCTGGGGAAGGGGGAGACCCGGGCAAACACACCATGTCAATACCCGAGCTGAAACTTCCATCCCTCAATTTCAATCCACATTTCCCCAGAGGAGGAGCCTGGGCCATGCACACAGATGTCTATATTGGGCCTCTAACTGGAGCTGTTTCCCCAGGTACGGAGAGGGGCAGGGGCTGCTGTAGGTCTCGCTCACCTCTTTGGCACTTGTGAAGGCCACTCCAGAAAAGGCGTATCTGTCAACCACAAGCGTGATCCCCTGATGAAGTTTCTCTTTCATCAATGGTCTGAAAACCATGTGGGAGGAAAAAAAATAGTTACACTCCTTTATAGCGATATAGATGAAAGGAGTTCATCTAAAAGAGAGCTCACAAGGCCAGTGCTGCTCTGTTAACGTACATCATCATGAACAGCGATGATCAGCAGTATCACAGTTATCTGTGATGCTGATCGCGGATTAATAGCTATTTGTATTCTGTCCTCTAACAAACATTAAGCAACTACCCTTTCAAGACACCCAAGCTCAGGGCTGCCCAGTGCAGGGCACTGCTCTAGGCAGCTCCACGACTTACAGGCAAGATCACAGCCAAACTATATTTGAACACGACCAGCTTAGTGGAAAAGGAAAGATCCTTTTTAAGTGGTGCAGTAGATTTGTAATACACTCTGCCTCGGTCAGAGAAAAGTGTCCTTTATTCGTGACAATGACATTTCTTATTACAGCTCACTCATCTGCCTTAAGCTTTTCCCAGTTTTCCTGGCATTGCCACTACAACAGAATCAGCAATGTTTTTTTCTTTTAAATGAAAAAAAAGTTTTGCAATACAGATTTCCAGGTCGAAGTAACAGCAGACACTGATTTCCCAAGCTCCACATGTGAAGACTCAGCTGGGCCAAAAGCAAGGACAGCCACTAACAGCTGAATGCAGCCTTTGGCTAGAGAAGTTTGGACAGGATTCCTTAAGCACTCTGTCACTCACATGGAATCCATAGAATCATTAAGGTTGGAAAAGACCTTCAAGATCATCAAGTCCAACCATCAACCCACCATGCCCACTAAATCATGTCCCAAAGCGCCATGTCTACATGGTTTTTGAACGCCTCCAGTGATGGTGACTCCACCACCTCCCTGGGAAGCCTGTTCCAATGCTTCCAATTCCGTGCAAAGCAAGGTCTCCTCACTCAGGAAGGACAGTACATTCACAGTCTAGGCTGGTGCAGTCTCAGCTCCCCAATTCTTGAATCCAGTAGAGCATGGAGATTGGAAATATCACACACGATGATTTCCAAAAACCAAACTCTGGGATTTGATCTAAGATTAATTCCAAAGGTGTATAAGTCCTTGAGACATTGCTTCCAGCCACCTTTCCCTTGCTAAACAGGCTCATACTCTCATACCTACTGTACCCACTGCAAGCTAGGACCCCAGGGAAGATTCAATGCCACGGGTTTTTTTTACAACTTAACAAACGTTATCTTTACACGTGTTCCCAGCGGTTAGCAGAGAAGAGCAGGTGAACGGTATGGTCCTCCAGGTTCTTCTGTTTAGCCAGGTAGGAGCTGATCAGCTGCCCGATCTCCGTTGTTCTCTCTGTAGGAAAGAGGGGGAGAAGCAAATACTGCCCCGACCTGCTCTCGCCAAAGGGGTGTCCATCTGTCCTGGGGCACATGTCAGTCTGGGGGTCTATCTGCCTGTCATGGGTGGGAGGGAGGTCTGTCTGTCCGCGGGCGGGGGTCTGTCTGTCCAGGGAGAGGATTCATCTGCCCATCACAGGTGGGAGGAGGTCAGTCCGTCTGGCGGGGGGGAGACGTGTGTGTGTGTCTGCCTGTCACGGGTGGAAGGAGGTCGGTCTGTCTGGGGACGGGGGTCTATCGGCCTGTCACGGGTGGGAGAAGTCCGGTCTGTCCGCGGGTGGGGGTCAATCTGTCACGGGTGGGACGAGATCGGGGCCGCGTGTGCCACGAGAGCTATCTCGTGCGGGGGCACACCG